TGCCTGCTGGGAAAAATGTGTTGAACCATTTTCACTGCAAGCCTAAGAGAGTCCCTAGTCTCTGCAAGGAATGAAATCAAGTGGGCTTGACCTTAGCTGATAAAAAGGCTTAAAATATGTTTTAGAGCTTAAAATTTTCAAAACCCAAATACAGTTTCCAAAACCAAAGAGGCAGCTGAGTAAACTTTCAACTTCAGCCATTTTAAAAGCCAAGATTTCTAAGGTTACCAGAAGAACCTCCCTCCACCTACTTCAATTACAACTTCAGCAGTTCTAAGCACAGACACAGCTGCTCACACATTTCTAAACCTATAAATTGCATTCCTTCTCAGAGGGAAAATTAAGTGACTTAAGTGCCAAAGTCTTCGGACAGTATGAGGTATCCTAGAGGTGGACAGAAGCTCAGACTGTGAGGGTGGAAGGACATGGTATAACTAGGAGAAAATCGAGACTGAAGGAGAGAATAATGACCTAGAAATGGCAGTGAAAAGCAAGGTTGTTGCTAGTCATGTTCTCCTTTTTGCCTCTGAAAAAGGGAGGAGGTGTGAGAAGGATTCAGACATGTTGTGAAGGTTTTGCATGCTGCATTATGAAACTCATGGTGGTACAGACTTCTTATAATGTCTGTTAAGAAAAGACAGTTCTTAAATGTCTAGAGTAAATAAGTGGTACCAGCATATTGTTTTGTAGTAGAGGACGTCTGGCTGTTGCCTACATTATAAGATTATTTCATTAATTATTCCAAAGGAACATAACCATACACCTCTATTAGAGAAGAGAGATCGTTTAATTTATGCTAAGGTCCTGAATTTAAACTGTCAGTCTGTCCCTCTCTCTTTCTCTATCTATATGATGCTTAGAAGGGTCTTTAAGGCTTCAGAGAGAAAGTAACAATTGAATTGGACCTTTACATTAGAGTAGGATTTTTGTCTCACACAGGTAAGTAAATAGTCTGGTGGGGCTGGCGTATGAAGTACATGGCAACGAATAATAGTAGGAGAGAGGCTTGAAAAGTTAATTGTGTCATGCTAGAAAGTTTGGGCTTTATCCTGGTGGCAATGAGGAGCCACCAAACTTTTATTTTTTAACTTTTTATTTTGAAAAGGCTTAAAGTCAAAAGAATAGCACAATAAATGCATATCTACCCATCACCTGTATAAACCAATCGCAAACATTTTGCCACATTTGCCTTATTTCTCTATATATGTATTTATTTATAATCCTTTTTACTTTTGCTGAAACATCTGAAAATTAGTTAGACATCCTGATACTTTGCCACTAAAGCCTTCAGCATGTATCTCCTAAGAATACGAGCATTCTTCTATAACCACAATACCATTATCGTACCCAAGAAGTTTAACACCTACACAATTATATGAGCTATTGTGTGGTCCATATTCTAATTACCCAATAGTTTCCTCTGTGGCTGTTTCTCCCCAGTCCAAGATCCAATCAAGGGCCACACATTGCATTTAATTGTGAAGTCTCCTCTAATCTAGAAGAATCCCCCACTGTTCCTTTTTTTCCTTTCATGACACTGACACTTCTTAAGAATCCAGGGTAACAGTCCACAAGGTGACGGGATTCACATTAACCATTTCTGGCAAGAGTGCCACACAGGTCATGCTGTGTGCTTCCCACTGCATCACATCAGGAGGGCTGGGTCAGTTTTTAAGCACAGATTTTTTTTTTTAACATCTTTATTGGAGTATAATTGCTTTACAATGTTGTGTTAGTTTCTGCTGTATAACAAAGTGAATCAGCTATACGTATACATATATCCCCAAATCCCCTCCCTCTTGCGTCTCCCTCCCACCCTCCCTATCCAACCCCTCTAGGTGGTTACAAAGCACCGAGCTGATCTCCCTGTGCAATGCGGCTGCTTCCCACTAGCTATCTGTTTTACATTTGGTAGTGTATATATGTCAATGCTACTCTCTCACTTCGTCCCAGCTTACCCTTCCCCCTCCCCGTGTCCTCAAGTCCATTCTCTATGTCTGCGTCTTTATTCCTGTCCTGCCCCTAGGTTCTTCAGAACCATTTTTTTTTTAGATTCCATAAATATGCATACAGTATTAGCATACAGTATTTGTGTTAGCATACAGTATTTGTTTTTCTCTTTCTGACTTGCTTCACTCTGTATGACAGATTCTAGGTCCACCCACCTCACTACAAATAACTCAATTTCGTTTCTTTTTATGGCTGAGGAATATTCCATTGTATATATGTGCCACATCTTCTTTACCCATTCATCTGTCGATGGGCACTTAGGTTGCTTGCATGTCCTGGCTATTGGAAATAGTGCTTCAATGAACACTGAAGCACAGATTTTTAAGGCATGGAATCAGTTTCCTCATTAGATTTATGTGTTAGATAATTTTGGAAGCAGTGTCAACATCTAGATTTTTTGCCAAATATTTCCAGCAAGTTAGACCAAAAAAAAAAAAAAAATCTGTGGTCTCTCTCTTCAGATATTCTTGACATGATGTTCTTATTCTCCCAGTATATACAGAATAACCTAGTAATCACTTTTACTTTATCAGTCACTGACTATGTCAACTCATGATGGCATAAACATTACCTGATATAATTTGGTTGCAGTCATGCACTGACTAATTCATGATTCCATATACAGAATTAAGAAAAACTCAACAGCATATTAAGCCATTAAATGACACAGAAGTAGAGATGGCTTTGCTATCAACAAAAATGTTAACATAGTTTGCTTTTAGCCAACGCCACTGACCAGACATTATTCTTATTCCAAATGCTACCTTAGAATTCCTAGCTTCAAATATCATATAACATGTCTTATAAGGAGAGTACAGTAAGGGAGAATCTACTTTTTCTTAAAGGAGCTCAAATCAGTACAACAATGAGTAAACAGGACTATCTTCATTAACAGTATTCACTAAAGTAAGGATCTCCCAAATTTGACTCTGTGGTTGATAAAAAACTTTCACACTTACCTCACAGTGTAGTATATATATATTCAATATGTTAAATAGTAAATCTTTTTAAGACTAGTAGATACAATAAATTCCTAGACCCTTAAAAGAAGTTAGTAAAAAAATCATACCTGAGTAAAAATATTATGTGTTTGGCTTAAAATCCACCTGGCATCAGCATCAGGTGCTACTACTAATTTCAAGGTCCCAACATAAACATCAGAACACAAGGTCCAGAAATGCTGTTCCTGTAAACTGTAAACTCCTTGCAACTGCTGCACCTAAAATATAAAGAGCACATATTAACATGAACTCAAGTATAAGTACACCCAACTTAAATCATGCAACACGTCAGTAAACATGGATTCTACTCTCTAATGAAAAAAGTGGCCTGGTGGGGGGGGGTGGCTTGCATTGATTAACAAATACCTACTGGGTACTTACTATGTGCTGGTACCACGACAGGTGTTTGGGAAATATAAATGAGCACATATCAAAATTTGTGGGGCACAGCTGAGAGAGCGCCTAAGTGAAATTTACATTTTCAAATACAGTTGACCCGAGAACAGCACAGGGGTTAGGGACGCCAGCCCTCCTCTCAGTCAAAAATCTGAGGATGCAACCAACCATGGATCATGCAGTACTGTGGTTATTTACTACTGAAAAATATCCATGTATAAGTAGAACGTGCAGTTCAAACCTGTGTTGTTCAAGGGTCAACTGTACATCGATCAGAAGACAAATACAAATACAAATGAGCTAAGAAATTAGCAAAAAAACAACAAAGTCAACTTAAGAAATAAAAAGGAAGGAAATAAAGGATGGAAATCAATGATCCACAAATTTAGAAATGACAGAGTTCACAATATCAAAAAACTAGTTCTATGAAAAGATTAACGAGCTAGAGAGTCAGTGTTTCGTACGTAATGGGGGCATGTTTTAGACAGGATGATTCTTCATCGTGTACAAGTGTCAGGAACTACAGGATCTTTGCATCCCCAGGACCCAGGGAACTACATGCCAACATATACCCTTCCCCAACTCATGTGACGACCAGAAAAGGGAGGGATGTCTCAAAGTTTTTCCAGTGGCTCCTTAAGTGTTCCACACCCTTAGGTTGACAACCACTGGCAAGACAAACTCTGATGGCGGTAAAAAAATAAAATAAATGAACATGCAATTAAACAAAGTACAAAATGAAAAAGGAAAAGAACTACAAACAACAGATTTTAAAAACCATAAAACAGAATACTATATGAATGTATCAATATGTGAGTGTACAAAATACTACAGCTGAGTAGAATCCAAACACTTCTCACCACCTCTACTGCTGTCAGGCTAGTTGAAGCCACTTTAGTTTGGATTATTATAATACCTTATTAACTGGTCTCTCTATTTCTAGCCTTGTACCTCTTCATCTATTCTCAAAACAGTAGCCCAAGTAAGAATCTGTTACTTTAGATCAGATGCTTTCACTCTGTTCAGAATCCTCCAATAGATTCCCATCTTACTCTGAACAAAAACCAGTGCTTTCACAATAACTTACATGGACCCACATCATGTGGCCCCTTGTTATTTACCTTATTTACCTCATCTCCTACTACTCCTCCCCTTGCTCCCTCTTCCTCAGCTACAGAAGCCTCCTCACCACTCTGAAAAGTCAGGCACACTCCTGCCCCAGGGCATTTGCTATTCCCTCTGCCTGGAGTGTCTTTCCTTCCAGATTTCTGCCTCGCCTACTTTGTTTGGGTCTTGACTCAAATGCCATCTTCTCAGGAGGCCCTTCTACTGTTATTCTATGTAAAACTACATTTCTCTGGTTTGTTTTACTTTTCGGCATATAATGTCGCACACTACATTACTATGTTATTTATATTGTTTCTTGCCTGTCTCCTCTGGCAGAACTCAAGCTCAATAAAGGCAGGGATTTATTTTCGATTTTTATGTTTTGTATCCTCAGCACCTAAAACTGTAAGGACCTAAGCCTGGCCCAAGTAATTGCTCAGTAAGTAGTACATGTATGTATATAAAATGAATATAAATTCAATTTTGGTGTTTGCTTTGGTAACACATATACTAAAATGAGAACGATCAGAGAAGATTAACATGGCCCTTGTGCAAGAATGACATGCAAATTCATGAAGGGTTCCATGGTCATTTCACAATGTACATGTATATCAAAACAACATATTGCACACTTTAAATATACATAATTTTCATTTATCAATTTTACCTCACTAAAGCTGGAAAAAATAATAAAATCAGAAAAGCAACAACAAAAAACACAATTTCAAAAATCTAGACAAAAATGAATAAATTTCTGGAAATACAGAAAATGCTGTAATATAAGAAAAAAACAGAAGATATAAAAGGGCCATTAAAAACTGAAAAGGTAATAAAAGTTCTCTTTCATAAAGCCCCCCCAACCCCCAGTCCCAGAGGGCAGACTTTCAAGAAACTTAAATAACCTCTTAGTTTTGCCAGAAAATAAAAAAGAGGTGCTATCTCATATAAGAAATAATCTTGATCCCCAACCAGATAAAGACAATAAATCATAAGCTAATTTCTCTTATGAATTAAATAAGCTAACTCCAACAGTATATTAAAAAATAACATATCATGACTACGTTAGGTTTATCCCAAGAGGGAAAGATTAAACATCAGAAACTCTATTACTGTGATTCTTCAATTAGTGAAGCAAAGGAGAAAAATCACATAATCATTTCAATAAAAGCATTACAATTATTTAATAAAATTCAACCCCTATTTATGATTGGAAGGACACTTCCTTAACTTAATAAAAGCTATCTACCCAAAACGTACAGAAAACGCTTAAGGAAAAAACGTTAGATGTATTCCCTTGAAGATCAGGAAAATCTTTACAAAGATGTCCAAATCACCGCTATTGTTCAATATCTCTGTATAGATCTAGAGGAGATGAATTAAGATCAGAACCCAGAAGTTAAAAAGATCTTTATAACAATTACACCAATTTAAAAGAGAAAGAGGTTACTCAGTGAAGGGGCTAACTACCGATTCCTGGAAATAGTCAAGAAGCCGAATGACCAACTGAATGTCGCGAAGGAGATTCTTCCAACAGATAGAAGTCTGGGCCAAATGAATAATAAGATCTTTTTGAATTCTGAGATTCCCTGATTCTTAAGTAATCTATTTGGGCTGTCAATTAAGAAAAAGTTGAACTTATATTTATCAAAAATATTTATTTTTATCAGAATTTGTTGTAGGATCACTTTCTATAAGCTCCAAGACACTTGGTGGGAAATGTGAGACAATAACCATTGTGCCCTTTAAAAAAACTGCTTTTACTAGGGAAAGAAGTCAAGGTGCACTTCCTCTTCCTCTTTCAGGACTCTGATGACACAGTGGTTTGAACCTGATATCCCTCCACACTTTTCTAAATGGAAATGGTATACTGCTAGGGAAACAGCACCCTGACTGAACAGATTTCTTCTACCTCCACAGATATAGCAGTACAAGCACATTCCTGTAGTTATCCTAAAGCATAAGTTAAGGAATGAGTCTTATAGAAACTGGCATTAACTTTACTCGAATTAAAAAAAGTGGGGAAAGTGTAGCTACAGATGAAAATCTGTGTTGCTCTTCCTGCTCAGACAGTGTGGTTTAACAGAAAGAGCATGAGCTTTTAAAGGCAGAATGATATGGATTCGAATCCAGATTCAGCCACTACCATCTGTGACTTTAGATGAGTTACTTAAATCCTCAAACATCAATTTTACTCAATTTTCCTAGCGAAAGGAAGATGAAACTTACCCTGTATGGTTAATGTGAAGAAAAGAAACAATATATGTAAATCACTTAATATAGGGACCAGCTTAGAGTAGGCGTTCAATAAATTGCCCCTTTCTCTTCCACAACTATGCTGACTGGTCCTACCTTAAAATCATAAAACCACAAATGTCAAATGGGCAGCACTTCACTTTCCCTGTCTCAAAAAGGACTATTCTATACCTTCTCTTTTCTCCTCTGGTCTTCTAATTTCTCTGCATGATTACTCTGCCCTGTAAATCAAAGAGAAAATAGAAGCACACAGAAAATCCCTTATCCTGCACCACCAAATCCACCAGTCAGCCCTCATCTCTTTCAGCACTTTCTGTCTTCCCTTGGGGGATACAGTACCCCTGGCTCCTATCTACAATTAATTCCTCCATAGTGCTTTGGGTTCTCTCCTTTTTCACCTTCTCAAGACCTTCATTCCTTCAGCAGGTAGTGAAGTAACCTGCTTCACTACCATACCATCAATTTCTTCCTGTAACACACAGGCTCCAGAACTGCACTGTGCAATACAGAAGTCACTAAACACATGTGACTAAATATATGAAAATGAAATGAAGTTTAAAAATTAGTTGCGCTATAGCTCAAATTATTAAGCTTCAAGTGCTCAATAGCCACATGTTCCTTGTGACTTCCATACTGGGAAATGTAGATTATTGAACATCTCCATTACTGGGGAAAGTTCTATGGGATGCTGTTTTAAAACATCTTATTTTAAAAACAAATTCCCTCACCACTGTTACTATATCTACAGCCAAGCTATCAGCTCATTTCTTTGTTCCCTTTAACAACACTTCTTAAAAAAAGTTGACTGTAACCACTATCTCTACCTCCCCAATTCATTTTCTCCTTAATCTACTATTATCATGCTTTCTCCAAACTCTACTGAAAATGCTTTTATCAAGGCCATTAATGCTGTTCATGATCCCAATCAATGGTCACTTCTCTGTTCCTACTGTAATTGCCTCACAGAAATATTTGGCACCGTTGATTACTTCCTCCTTCAACTTCTTCTGGGTTTTCCAGCTCCCATTCCTGGCTTTCCTGCCTGTGCTCTAAATCTGGAGTGGAAGCTTGACCTAAAGATTAGAGCTTAATCCTCCCAAGGTAACCTTACATAATCCTAATGTTTTAAATGCCAGTCATATACTGATGACTCAAACTCCCCCTAGTTCTCATCAGTCCCTAAAACTCCAGATTTGCATATCCAACCACTTGAGTGACATTTCCCCTAGATGTACAGTAGGCATTTCATTTTTAACATATCCAGAATAGAACTCTTGATTTGGGAGGATTTTCCACCCTCACACCTGCATCAACCTCAACAAATGGTATTAGCATCTACCTAGTTGCGATTCAACACTTTTTCTCCCCTCTGCTAATATAATCCATCTCCAAAAACTTATCCAAAATATCTACTTAGCTCCATTTTCACTTCTACCACTGTAGTCCAGGCCATGATTTTTCAGATTAGAACAGCCTCTTAACTGGTTTTCTTTGCTTTCATTCTCCCTAGAGTTTATTCTCTAATAGCAAGCAGAATAAGCTTTTAAAAACTTACATTTTGTGACACTCTATCTGCCTAAAAGCTTACTAATGCTTCCCAGTGAACAGAATTAAATCTAAACCTCTTAGTAAGACCAAAACCTCTATATGATCTGTCCTCTGCCATTCTCCCCAGCCTTTCCAGCCACTCTTCCCTTTATTATGCTTCAGCCACAATGGCTTTTTTTTTTCCTGTTTTTCAAACACACTAAATTAGTTCCAGTCATAGAACTTTTCGCATTAGCATTTTCCTTTGCTTGGAACACTCTTCTCCAAGATGTTCATGTCTGGCTCCTTCTTGTCAACAAGATTTCAATTTCCTTGAATATGACTTCCTGGATAAATCTGACATAGCCATCCATGTCTCACATGACTTTGTTTTATTTCTTTTATAGTAATCATCACTGATATTTTCTTATTTATTTATTGTTTAGTGCCTGTGTTTTCCCACCACACCATAAATTCTTTGATAGACACTGACTACCTTATTTACCATTACACCCCTAATACCTTAGAAGAATATATGGCATAAAAGGGGAGCTCACAAAATCTATGCTGAAGAAATGCTTATATCATCTGCCATTTATATTTATATTTTAAAAGAGCTGCTTGATTTCTAGATGAGGACAACTTCTACCACATTTTCTTTAGTGAAGCTCAATATTTTCCAATGATTTTATTCTGGTTCATATAAATGGCATTCATGGTCAGCATTTAGTCTTGGCAGAAATACTAAATTATACACACATGCTACCCATATTTATAAAAGTTATAACCCCTAACAGCTTGGAAACAACCAAAACCCAATGGTTTGGAAGCTTTGAAACTTACCCTCTGATAGCACTGAGGGAGAGTATTTTCCAAAAGGGGAGGAGTTCGCTGCATTAATATTCCAACAGACTCTCTTAAAAGAGGAATAACACTATAGAAAAGGAAGACATCAAACTTATTAAAGCCACATTCTGACAATCCCATCCTGCAAGAAAGTAATAATATACCTCCCAATAGAATATAATAAAGATTTGTCAGAATAATATGAGGAAAAAGAATCCAGCCGTTGCTCCAAATTTTTCATGGGACAAATAAGTTATTCTATAAAGTAAAAGTAAAAGAGCTAAATGAAATGTATCAATGTATGAAACAATAAACACGCTGAATAGTACTGGAGCATCTAAAATTTAAACACAGCAGTCGTTCAACTGTCATTTATAATATGACTTCAAATGGCTAGAATCTTCAAGGATAATCTATAAAGCATATCATGGCCAACTGGTCCTTAACGTTTATCAAATATTTACATTCATTTATCTGAAGAGTACTGTTAAGGAAAATACAAAAAAAATTAATACAGCATATTAAGTTCATTCGTCCAGTGTTTTTCCAACCCGATTATATAACAGTTTTCATTGATTATTAAAAAAAATAGAAGCCTGGATATAATCACAGATCTAGTGAATCAGCACCTCTTGTGATAGGGCCCCAAAATCTGTATGAACTGATGTAATTAGTCCTCAACCAGTATTTGGAAATTATGGCTTTAGGCTACTTGGATGGTTAAATGCACACAAAGCAATTAATAGTGTAATGGTGAGGCTGACTCTAATGCAGTAGTTTTCTAAACCAGCTACATATCAAATTCACCTTAGAGTCTTGTTTGTTGTCATTTCTAACATATTGAATGAGAATCTCTGAGGGAGAGTTGAGGCATCTATGTTATTAAAAAGCTCTCCAGGGGGAGTCCAATGAGTCAGGGGGTGAGGCACTGCTCTATTGCTTGAAGCAGACTCAGAGGGAAGGTCA